CATAATTAGAAAAACGGAACACTTATAGAATCACCTCGGTGTCTGTTACGTTTTTATAGGTCTGACTGTCTGTTTGTATCACAGACGTTTTCTCGACGCGAAGTTTAAAGAAATTTATAAAGTAGACGCAATTTTTTTTATAGGATAGGGTGACAAACGAGCACACAGTCCACCTGATGGTAAGTGGTTGCTGTAGCCCATAGACATCTACATCTATCCTCGCTTGCGAATCAAAATGCAGATGCGTTGTCACCCGTGAGGACTAAGATGGAATGCCTCTTTTCCAGTAATAAGGGTCTCCGGTTCTCTACACGAAACACAGCAGCGTTGAGCTGCTATTTGACGCTGGTATTCTGTGAGAGCGTGGTCCTTCCCCGGTCGAGCCGACCCATTCGTGCTACAACTATACTAATAATATAGCTGCAGCATGGCTCTACCACGTACAGAATTGTTAGTTCAGGAGCTAAAATGGGAAGTTAACTTTATCATTTATTTACACTTATATACTTTATTTAGAATCATCGTAACACAATACCAACAATTTATTAGTAATTGTTTTATCTGTTTTAATTTATTTACTTTACCCAAAAAATGCTATCTGCCTAATCTTGGGAAGTATAGAACGAGCCAAAATTAACATAAATAGAAAGTTTTTCGACGTATCTTGACCAAATAACATTTATCTATACAAATAAATAAAATTGAAGTGTCTGTAATCTCAAAATAACAGCATTTTACTAAATCCACATGAAATTATATACGGTAGTTATAACAATAATACAATTTTTAAAATTTTTGTCTGTCTGTTTGTTCCGGCTAATCTCCGAAACGGCAGGACCGATTTCGACGGGACTTTCACTGGTAGATAGCTGATGTTATAAGGAGTAACTTAGACTACTTATATTTCAGAAAAAGAATTAGGGTTCCGCGCAACATAATTAAAAACCTAAATTACACGCGGGTGAAGTTGCGGGGAACAGCTAGTTAATAACTAAGGTTGGGGGCCTTAATTTTGCCAGTATATCCAATTTTTTATATGACTTACTTTTTATACAATTATTCAGTTTCGTTCGATTTTTAAATATCCAAAAGCATTTGCACTTTTTGTTGACAGTCATATATCCAATTTATATCGTTTTATTAATGTTCATAAAAATACAAATACGTCGATGCAAATATATAAAATTAGAGTCTTTGTTTGTAATGTCAAAATAACAGCCTTTAACTAAATGCATATGAAAGTATATACATTACTTACAACAAAAGAACACTTTTTAAATTTTTGTCTGTCTGTCTGTCCGTCGGTCTGTCTGTCTGTATGAGCGTTTTTTCCGGCTAATCTCCGAAATGGCTGAACCGATATTGACAGGACTTCCACTAGCAGATAGCTGATGTTATAAGGAGTAACTTAAACTACTTTTATTTTAGAAAAGCAATTGGGGTTGGGCGCAAAAAAAAACCATGAAATCCAACAGTATTAATTCCACGGGTGAAGTCGTGGGGAACAGCTAGTAATTTCTATATTCATCTAATTCAAATAAAGCATTTACTTCTAAAATAAATACCCGTTTATAATTCAGAACGGCGCTCGACCACATATCGGTGAAACATAATGTATTTGCCCTTCGTTTAACCAATTCTTAAGCCGATGAAATACACGAGGAAGGAAATACTTAATGAATCATAGAAGCCGGGAAAATATTTATAGAATCGTTTTTAAACCATGCAACGCTAGCGGAACAAAACGATTTAACAGCTTGATAAGCAAAGAGTTCTGTTTTATTGATAAGTTCCTCACGTTTGAAATATTTGTCGTAATCCAACAAATGGTATAAAAACTATTATCATAAAACTTTAAAAAGTAAAAACCGACTTCAAAAAAACTAAAAAGAATTAAATAATTTCTTTGGTAGGTAGTCTCTTTTCACCTTTTTTAAGTTGTAAATATTTGTTCCCTTGACATTTAAACAAATTTTAACATGAGTGGTCTAAGCAATATTACAACGTCAAGGTAACAACTAGAATTATTATTTCTCTTACCTTAGGATAGAATTATTTCTCTCAATTTAAATTTGATTACCTTCCAAATGGAGCCAATTTAATAAAAAAGAACCATCATAATCGAATCACAATTGACGAAGATATCGTAACACATATATATATAATACAAATGAATTGAATACCTCCTTTTTCGACTTCGTCTAAAAAATATGAGATGACTTGTTCCAGGTGGGATTCAAACCCTACTGAAGCTACTCACCGCAATCAGACCGCCTGACTTTTACTGTCGATATTTTAAACATTTGCCCGCTTCGTTTTTCGTAATGCATGCAGCAAATAAGTGAAATAATTTAAGGCAAATAGGCTTTTGTTACGCTAAGATAATGTGACTTCATCACCGCTAACTACCATTGGTGGGATTGTAATGAACCACTGGCTTATAATAAATAAAAAAAAACATCGATTTCATAAAGAATCTAAAGCTAAATTACTTTGGGTTTAGGAAGGTGTTCCAAGTGTCCATTAAAAACTTCTTTTGTACTATTGACTTCTTATTCAATAAACGAAAGATGTCACAAAATCAATCAGATAGACATTAAACGTTTCATTATCGTCAGAATTTTCTTTTACACATTTTAACCGAATTTTATCACGAACAATTATTCAAACGCGTGAAATGTGAAATTACAGTTACATTGAATGATAAATATCTAATACTTAAAATGTATACATTTAAAGGCTATCAACTTATATGCGAATATAGGATATAATAAATAACTAAAGGAAACATTTGAAATGTCCGTCTTATTAATTTAATGTAATTTTTAATTTTAATAAAATATCTGTTAGCTTTCGTCTACTAATGGATATGGTCATCTCACATCACGCTTGGCAGGCGAATTGATGATAGAATCAGCAAACGTCTCACTCTTTTCCTGCTGACGCCCATTGTCGGTCTAGTTATCTTACGGAAGCTATTACATTTTTCTGACAGTCGCCTCTTAAGACATCCTAAGGACGAAAAGTCGTGGAAGCTCAGATGGTTAGCGCTCGCCGTAAATTTCACACTAGTGAGCAACCCGGGTTTGAACCCCGCCGGTACCAACGAAATTGTTAATTGCAATTTTAAGTGCCTGATTTACCACGTGCTCGGCGGTGAAGGAAAACATCGTGAGGAAACCTGTATGCCTGAGAAATAAGAAAGAAAATATTTCGAAGACATGTGAGAGTTCGCCAACATGCATTGGAGCAACGCGAAGGACATTTCCTTGCCCTATACCTTCTCATTTCTGAGAGGGTATAGGGCAAGGAAATGTCCCTCTCAGAAATGAGAGGAAGCCTTTGCCCAGCAGTGGGATGTATTTAGCTTGTAACTTTTTTAACTTCAATGTCGGTATGTGATGGTGGAATCTCTCAATATGCCCCACGCGGCAATTAAAAGTAATAATGTACAATGTGCTCAGAAATTAACGAAAACATCATTAGGAACCTTTTAAGAAGAAACATTTCGACTTCATCCTTCATCGAACGGCACGAACTCTATTAATCCTCAAACTTTTGCAGGAATAAATACGAGTCTGTGCCCAGCATTAGAACCTATATATACTGTTACTTTATAGCTATGTAATAAATAGAATGAAGGAATCTCTTAATTATTAAGGAATAAGGCTGTTGCATCTTTTATTTTAATTGAGTTGTTGAAATTAATTACATCAAAGCATGCCATTCTTTCGTGCATCGCGATACATCAGTTATACTAACCGTGCCATCATGATTGAGGTAATTTGTATTTAAAGCTCCGATGAATTTACTGGATCCGTAATTATCCACGCCTACACGTAATAGCTCATGCAACAATCATTCCGATCTGCAGCGAAAGTTGCCACTATGCATTGATTATACAAAAACTCTGAACACGATCTATTTCTGATAAATTGTTTCTGTAGAAATCACCTTGCCAGTATCAATATTGAAGCTGTATATTATCAGGAAGGTGCTGTTTCAGTCCTAGTTGAGCTTCCTTCTGTCGCGTTTTTCGATACCCATGGGATGATATGGAGTAGTGAATATTCTTATGCCGCGTTACAGAGCGTCCTCAAATAATGATTGCTAATTGTTATATTTCCTAACTAAATCCTTAAAATTAATAAACGCACATCATTCAATTTAGTGTTAGTATACACATTATACAATCCATTTAAAAAAATATATTTTAAAATAATAACCTACAGTTCTGATATTCACATATACCAAAAAATTCCATGCAATGTCTAACTAATCAATGTTGACGTTCATATATTAGGAAGTAAAAGTTACAACAGCTTTTCAGGGCCATAAAACCTAAATAAGATCAAATGCGCTTATACCCAACTAAAAACAACTGCGAACAGGGCCACAAGTAAGCAATAATGTTGAAATTGTACAATAAATAGATTGTATCACTGGAAAATGTTCCACTAAACATAAACTTCTATTTGAAATCAGTGAATAAATTGACACAGTTAAGCGGCACTCGAGGAAAGTCCTTATAATATTGGAACAGACAAGTCCTAAGCTAACATTTTTACAAAATATAATTTTAATAACAGGTACGTATTTATAATTAGGATAAGAAACCCTTTATGTAAAATGTACGTCAGACTTTATAGAACAATTTAAACGTTTCGGACAGCTCCGTGGCGTAATGAGTTACGGCGTTAAGGGCCGCGGGTTCGAATCTCGCATGGAACAAATATTTGTAAGGCGAACAAGTATCAAATCCTTGATGATGATGATGATCCTGACAACGCATCTGATTAACAAACGAGGATAGACGTAGAAGTCTATGGGCCACAGCAACCACTTACCAATAGATACACTGTGTGCTTACTATTGTTCTATAAAAAAAAAGTCACCGGTCTACTTATTTTGGTGTTGGCTTTTTAAAATAGATATCCCGCCAAAAAAAAAATATCTTTCTCAGAATACGGATTTTAAAAAACGATATTTTTCTTTTACAGAAGCAGGTAACGTCCCAGACGATCAGTCAACATCAGCGTCATGGTGGCAAGCAGGCACAGCGACGCCCTTCCATGAGAGCAGCAGTGGCGCATTTTCTTCAACGCATGGCATCGTTCAGACACATCCATCGCTAAATGACGGATATTCCTTTGGAAACATTGCTAATACGGTCGGAGCTTCATCTAACCCTTTCGTCCAAACAAGTGGCAGCGGTCCGCTTAGTGGCAGTTTTCGCAACAATCCGCTACCACCGCTTTCTAAGAACTCGAACGGGAAAACGTCATTCAAGCACTTGGATTTCACGAGCAGTGCAACTGCTGAGCTAAGAAGGAATCCAGCACTATCCGCTCCTGATGAATGTGCGCGAGCTTGCAGAGAGGGAGAGCCGCCGAGAATCTGCTACTACCATTTCACTCTTGAGCTGTACACTGTTTTGGGCGCGTAAGTATCTAACATACTGTTTTTTTTTTTTCTCGTATTCTTCTTTGACAATCTGTAAAAGTCCACGTCTAGGCAATAGGAATCAATGCAATCAAATGCCTCTCACATTGCAGGGAGAGTTGACCATAGTTGCTACGTTTAGCAGCGAATTAACAATCGCAGTAACTACCAGACGTTTCACACCATTGACGCTGCTCCCCGTCTTCGGTCTGAGTATTTAGTCTCCATGTGGTTAAACCACCATCTATTCACCCACCTGATAAAATAAGGTTTTTTTTTTTTTATAGGATAAGGGTGACAAACGAGCACACAGTCCACCTGATGGTAAGTGGTTACTGCGGCCCATAGACATCTACATCTATCCTCTATTACAACTCAAAATGTAGATGCGTTGTCACCCGTGAGGACTAAGATGGAATGCCTCATTTCCAGTAAAAAGGGCCTCCGGCCACCTGCACTCACCAAGCGAAACGCAGAGGTAAACCTCTACTTCACGCTGGTTTTCTGTGAGGTCGTGGTACCACCCCGGTTCGAGCCGGCCTATCTGTGCGGCAGCAAAAGCTGCCGCGTGGCTCTACCACTGTTAAATACAGAGGGGAGTAGGAAAAGAAAATTATCTGACTCCGCTACCTCAATTTGTAATACCTTACCAGTATAAACTCACGGTAAAAGTAATTTTAATAGTGACAACCGTGGGAATGTCATAACTAAATTAGTTCGAACGTTTTTTAGAAATCAGATAAATGTTCGTTTCATTTATGTTTCACAGTTTGCTTCATTCATTGACAAATGTATGTCTAATATTGCTTCTTCAACTCAATTGAGTCCATTTCTAATTGATAGGTAATGTCGACAGAGCTTATGCAAAAATTCACGTTTCGTTGCACAAGCATAGGGTACTCGTAATGAAACTGTGTCGTAACAATACGTCATCGACACAGTTTTTTGGCATGATTGTCATTGTAATAGCTGAAACATTTAAATTACATTTTTAATATAGTTTTTATGATTAAAATTATTTTATTACAGGGCTTGCCAAGTTTGCACACCTAATGCCACAAACGTAGTCTGGTCTCACTGTCAATGTGTGTTGGCCGATGGTGTGGAGCGAGGTATCCTTACAGCAAACAGAATGATTCCTGGACCATCCATTCAAGTATGTGAAAATGACAAAGTGGTAATTGATGTTGAGAATCATATGGAAGGTATGGAAGTGACCATTCACTGGCACGGTATCTGGCAAAGGGGATCCCAATATTATGATGGAGTACCATTTGTAACGCAATGTCCTATTCAACAAGGAAATACATTCAGGTAAATATACCTAATTATAAAGACAAAGAACTAATTGATAACTTTGTTTTGGACAAAGAGTAATAACACAACACAAGATCAGTCTTATTATTTATAGGATAGAATAGAATAAAATAAAATATCTTTTATTCAATATAGATTATTAGACGTGTAATTCTTATTGAAAGTCATTTTTTACTTTTACCACTTACACTACATACATATTTACCTATACAGATTTTCAAACGACTTCAAAAAAGGAGGAGGTTCTCAATTCGTCCGAATCTTTTTTTATGTATGTTTTTTTTATAGTAAAGGATGACAAACGGGCACACAGTCCACCTGATGGTAAGTGGTTGCTGCAGCCCATAGACATCTACATCTATCCTCTATTACAAATCAAAATGCAGATGCGTTGTCACCCGTGAGGACTAAGATGAAATGCCTCATTTCCAGTAAAAAGGGTCTCCGGTTCTCTACACTCACCATAAGAAACACAGCAGCGTCAAGCTGCTATTTCACGCCGGTATTCTGAGAGAGCGTGGTCCTTCCCCGGTCGAGGCGACCCATTCGTGCTACAACTATATTACTAATATAGCTGCAGCATGGCTCTACCATGTATAAAATGTTCACCGATTACTCATAGACGCCTGAACCGATTTGAAAAAATATTTTTTTGTTTTAAAGGGTGTGGTGTGATGGTCCCATTTAAATTTTATCGAAATCGGTCGAGCGGTTTTTAAAATTAAACAATAAATTATATTCATATTGAAGTCGTTTGTACAAAATTTTAAATTTACCACATGTTATTTCACAGATATCAATGGCAAGGTAACGCAGGTACTCACTTTTGGCACGCACATACTGGTCTTCAGAAATTAGACGGTTTATATGGAAGTATTGTTGTACGTCAACCTCCATCCAAAGATCCCAACAGTCACCTTTACGACTATGATTTGACTACACATGTCATGTTACTAAGCGACTGGCTTCATGAAGATGCTGCCGAAAGATACCCGGGTCGCCTTGCCGTCAACACCGGTCAAGATCCTGAATCAGTATTGATTAACGGCAAAGGACAGTTTAGAGATCCCAACACTGGTTTCATGACAAACACACCGTTAGAAGTTTTCACTATTACTCCGGGAAGGAGATACAGGTTCAGGATGATCAACGCTTTTGCTTCAGTTTGTCCAGCTCAGCTTACAATCGAAGGCCATAACCTCACAGTTATTGCGACAGATGGGGAACCCGTGCAACCGGTACAAGTCAACACTATTATATCTTTCTCTGGTACGTAAAATACATTACAACAACTTTATCATAACATCATAATAATAAATCAGAGTTGTCCAATTCACAGACCCAGTCATACTAAAAATGCAATAAATAAGTCATAGAGAGAAGTAATATTTCAAAATTTGTCCACTCACTGTAATGGCCAACAAGGCATCACTGATATTGGTTGTACATACCGTTAAATATTTGTAGCCTATATCTACGTCCCTCTACTGGACACAGGCCTGCCCTCATTTCTGAGAGGGTTTTAGGGCAAGAAATGTCCGCCGGGCTGCCCCAATGCGTGTTGGCGAACTTCACATGCCTTCGAATTTTTTTTTCTAATTTCTCAGACATGCAGGTTTCCGCACGATTTTATCCTTCACCACCGAGCACGTGGTAAATCAGCACTTAAAATTGCAACTAACAATATTATTGGTATCGTTGGGGATCGACCCGGGTTGCTCGCGTACTGTGAAATTTACAGCGAGCGCTACCACGGCTCACATATCGTAAAAAAAATGAATTATGGCATGACTATATATATATATATATGTCTTTAATTTTTTTTATTCAATTGAACACTAACAATATTTTTCTATGAACTATTATTTCCTGATTCATAACGTAATTTGTGTTGGCCCTTATAAATCTACTACGGTGTGAACGGACTTGTAATAAATGTTCCTACCTGAATAAATTGTTCTTACTCAAACAAAAATAAGAACCTCTCATAACGGCCTTAGTAATTACGCTGTTTTCACTTAACACCGTTATCGCTGTACAATCAACGATGATTTAACGATAATACTGAATTATAAACAGGCACGCCTATATGATGTTGTAACACGTATAAGTAAATTGATACCAGAACTATACTGAAGTTACTGTATAATCGGGTTGCATTACTTTCGTTATTCATTCCTTTCAACATTAATTTTAAAACTCGTTTTTGACGCTGGTTTTACTCGACGCTTTCAGGTGAACGATACGACTTTATCATAGTCGCAGATAATAACCCTGGCGCGTACTGGATCCAAGTACGAGGTCTTGGAGAATGTGGCGTAAAGCGAGCACAACAATTAGGAATACTCCGGTATGCTAGGGGTCCATATCAACCTTCCACGCCAGCGCCTACGTATGATGTGGGACTCCCACAAGGAGTGGTATGTATTATACTATTACAAACTTACATTTATATGAACTATTATAATTCCTAAAAGAAAATTGTAAATACGTTAGAAATATGATTAAATTTTGCAAGTATTTGCTGTCAACATTCACAATAAGTACAAGAAGTTTAAATTTCGTGTTCTCAATTATACGGATAATTAGCGGATATTGCATACTAGCTTCTAAGAGCTAGTACGACAACCTGAATCGAATTAAATCTATTCTGCAAAAGTTGATTGCATGTATACATCCTTGCAATAAAATTAGCAAATACTTTTTGAACGCAAAAATCGTATTCAAAATAAATTGGACACATTCATTAATTGTATAAAGTATTCAACAGTAGCAATGAATTGTAAATATCATAAGAAAACTGTTGTGGAATCAGTAACTGAGTAGATGACACGGAATGTGTTTTAGTAGTAACCTATCATAATGATTATACTGCACCTCTTTACAACAAATTTCCGCATTTGCACCACGAACGTTCTGTTTTATTAAACATGTGCAATTTTAATATGGTAATATAAGAAATAAATCATTCAAAACTATTGTTTTCTTTTTGCTAAACATAATAAAACGGAACTGACAAAAGTATCATTAAGAATTTACAAGGTTTATTTACTCCTTCCTTCATTCCCAATGAACAGACTTTGGTAGTATTTATAAATAATAATAAAAGTAGTTAGGTATTGAAGTAGAGTAGTTTGCACGTAAAATTAATAATTGCACGTTCTTCCTCCTCACTAACTATACAGGTTATGAACCCATTGGACGCAAGATGTAATATACCCAGAACCGACGCCATTTGCGTCAGTCAACTGAAAAACGCCAAGCATATCGACCCTGCAATACTCCAGGATAGGCCTGACGTAAAGATTTTCTTACCATTCCGATTCTTTGTTTATAGACCAGAGATGTTGTTCCAACCGAATACTTATAATCGATTTTTAGGTGAGAATAAATAATAAATAATATTATAGTTGGTTTAAAATTTTTATTTTAAATAAATTCGTCGCCAATAACTTAATATATTACTTACAGTGGCACCGCAAGGAGATCACGTTATCAGTTTAATAGACGAAATATCGTATATGTCCCCACCGGCCCCTCTTATAAGTCAATATGATGATATTAATCCTGAACAATTCTGCAATGGCGACAACAGGCCAGCTGATTGCGGACAAAATTGCATGTGCACTCACAAGGTTGACATACCGCTCAACGCAGTTGTAGAAATTGTACTAGTAGACGAAGGTATTTTGCACCACTAAATATACAAATCGCTTTAAACATTGGCTGTTATATTCGCTGCTATAATATGAATCTGACTTTATTTTAATTTTACATTTTTAACTTTTACAGTTCAAATTGTGAATTTATCCCATCCGTTCCACTTGCACGGTTACTCTTACAACGTGATTGGTATTGGACGGTCGCCCGACCAGAACGTCAAGAAAATTAACTTGAAACACGCCCTCGACCTCGACCGACGAGGATTACTCCAACGTCACTTGAAACAAGGAGATTTGCCGCCAGCGAAAGACACCCTTGCCGTTCCCAATAATGGCTACGTTATCTTACGATTTAGGGCTAACAATCCTGGTTTTTGGCTCCTTCATTGCCACTTCCTCTTCCACATCGTTATCGGCATGAATGTCGTGCTACAAGTTGGCACCCAAGCCGATCTGCCTCCTGTACCTCCCAACTTCCCGACATGCGGAGACCATCTCCCTCCTATCAATTAAAGCGGTTCCTAGTAACAATTACAGTACATCAAAGAATTGGTTCAGCAGTTGAATTATTTTTGTGTTAACTAAGTGTAACTTTATGATTGTTTTGTGTGGTGTGTCAGGTAGATTCGAAGTGCTCGACTCTACCATTTGTGTTTTTTATTCGAATGTTTCAACAGGAGTTCATGATGGTTTGTGATTTTTTTTATTTAAAAGACAGTGATACTTTTTTGAGTGAATCACAGTTTTATAATATGCCATATTTGGTGATACTTTTCGAATTATTTTAATGTGTCGCCTAAAATATTGTATAGTTCGAGGCTCAGTAATTAATGTACAACGTATTCTTCGCCCACGGGTTTCTTTTTTTTTATCTATTTTATACGATTTTGTTTGTACTGTAACTAACGACTTGCCATTTTTTCTTCACCAAGGATATTTATTACGTGTATATATATGAAATTTATATAGACGTATTTAGAATAATAAGAGGTTCTACCATTGACTAACATCGCAATCCACACAAAATTAAGGAATTGTAAATATGCAAAATGTGCAATACTTGTAAATACACAAACATGAACAAATAGCTTAAAACATACCCCTTCTACTCCCCCGACAATAAAGACTGTTCTAACCGTATGTTTATTTAGAAAGTGAAGAAAGAGATTATACAAAAAAATGTTACCATTCCCAGTTACCATAAACATAAGAAAATCCTGTGTATTTTATAACGTAATTTAAATAATTTCCAGAAGAGCAGACGTGGTAGTATAATAATAAGAAATCATACAGTGTTTACCTGAAGAGGCAAATTCTTTACAAATTAAATAAAAATATTTCTGTTATTGTCATGCGTTAGCAGACAATGTGTATTTATCACTAATATTTTAAGAAATTTGTAAATTTTAAACCACTTTAATAAATTTTATAAAATATAATATATTTTCATTTTATTCCTTTATAAATAAGTTTTCATGATTATTTGATTGTTTCACTTACTAATGTTAACAACATGCAATGTAAATATGATACAAAATCCCTGTCTTATGTAAATACTAAACGGTGTTTGTTTTTTATAACAATTTTATTTTTAGATGAAAAATAACGTCACATTTCCCACGATACACTTACTTAACCTATATCAGTGTAGAATGGAAAGGTACGGTACACTATTTGTATTAATTTCTTCAATTTTATTGCTTGTAAAGAAACCGTATTATGCATTAATACGTACACTATTAATTAATTGATATATTTTTGTAGGTATTAAATCCTCTAGATGCAGTTTGCGATGTACCACGAAATGATGCAGTGTGCGTCAGTAATTTAAAATCTGCAAAACCGGTGGACAAGGCAATACTTCAAGAGAGACCAGACGTAAAAATCTTCCTGCCATTCCGTTTTCACTTCTACACGCCAAAAGATCTTTTTAAGGAAAATACATACAAAAATTACTTAGGTAATTATTTTACCTCTATTTTACGTTTTTTTTTTTATAGAATTAGGGTGACAAACGAGCACACAGTCCACCTGACAGGTAAGTGGTTGCTGTGGCCCATAGACATCTAGATCTATCCTCGATTACGTATCAAAATGTAGATGGGTTGTCACACCTGAGGACTAAGATGAAATGCCTCGTTTCCAGTAAAAAGGGTCTCCGGTTCTCTACACTCTCCATGCGAAACACAGCAGCGTTAAGCTGCTACTTTACGCTGGTGTTCTGTGAGAGTGTCGTCCTTCCCCGGTCGAGCCGACCCATTCGTGCTACAACTATATCATAAATATAGCTACAGCATGGCTCTACCACGTATAAAACGTGAAGACACACCTGCAAAGATATCGCAGAATTTTAAAAATGAAAGTAATTTTTTTTACTTCGATGTAAGCCGTGACAGCTCAGCGGCTAATCGCTTGCTGTAAGTCTGACAGCCCGCGTGCAACCCGGGTTCGATCCCTACTAGCAACTTTACAATTGGCTTTGGTTGGCACCCCAGCGTTTATTATTTTGAGGCGTTTTCAAGAAGATGCTGTTGTCCACATCTCCTATTCCAGTTCCCTTCTGTCGCCTCTTACGACACCCACGGGAACAAATAATTAAAAAATATTATGTTCCACTTCAAGGACTGTGTTTCTAATCGACGGATCTGTAGAGTAGTTGCTAAGCCAGAGGCGAGTCCTAGGGTTCGAATTCCACCCGTGACGTAGTGTCATATTTGTGGCCTACAAATAATTATTCCGGGTGGTATTTCACGTGAAATGATTGTATATTAAATGCTTTAACAATACAGGATTCATAATACAATGCAGAATAATTTTATAATGTTTTTCTTCAATTTGGTCACACGGTTAAGTTTAAAATGTAAGTGCTGCCAACATTGGAGATAAAACATGAATTTCTAGTATTATTTAAATATTAAATAACCCCTCTTGAAGAGCTTTTTTTGAATTAACTTTAGGTCCACTGCTGGAATTAAAAAGGGTACCTTTTGGAAACTTTGTTTGGGAATATTTTTTTATTCTCACTACCCTGGGTAAGCAATAGGCATATTAGTGTTTGTTCATATAGTATAAGGTGTTTGGGTCTTGCCCACGTTTTTAGGTTGTATTTATGTTGAAACAACTAATTTAATTGTTTTATTGTATATTTTATAAACTGTACAAGGTATGTATGTTTCATAAACTGTACAAAGTATGTATGATTGCGTCTGTACTGCACACGGCTCGCCAATAGAAGAAGAGAGAAATGTCGAGTTGATAGCTTTATATAAGGTTACAATAGGGTTGTACCATGTAAATAGTGATGTACTACAATCGGTGCTGTGAGTATCACGAACATAAGGGTAACAAATGAGCCCACAATCCACCTGATGGTAAGCGTATGTGGTGACTCATAGACATCTACACCTACATTAAGGATCAAAATGTACTAGAGGACTAGTAAAAACTTCTTTACTTATAAAAATATTCTCTACACTCACCATACGAAACACAGCAGCATTAAGCTGCTATTTCACGGTGGGATTGTGACAGCATAGTCCTTCCCCAGTCGAGCCGACCTATTCTTGTTGCAGTTAAGATTTAGTTAGTGCAGTGCTCGAATTCGTAATTCTACCCCCATCACTGAAAATCGCCTTAGTTACTACTACATTTGTTAATATGAGGCCACCACTTTAGAACACTTAATCGCCATCGGTTCTAAGTTCATTGAGTTCATTACTGATCCATTGAGATATGCCGTGTAGTAGCGATAAAAAGCATCCAGTACCCGATATAATATAAATAATTACCTCCATACCGAATTTCCGTCACCGCAGCCAGTCTAAACGGAAACTAGTCAACTGCAAAAGACAAGGTTACAGTGCACTCGTCTGCGCTAAGCACAGGTGTACTCTCTATTCCTTCACTCTCCTAGTTAGATAGAACAACAATCCGACACGACCGTAGAGATCAGGCTGGACTAATGGCTTCACGTGCTATCCGCGGCAAGAGGGCGCAACACCGCGAACTTCCTGACTCCCGGCTACTGAGAACTTCCTGACAGAGAAACCCAATCACTGATTATCATGATCAGCAGTTGCGCTGACGTTCACTCGACCAACGTAGTCAATCCCATATCATTTCATGTGAGTCTTAAGAGGAGACCGAGGGAAACTGAAACAGGTGGGTGATAACAGCTCAAAGTAATAAGAAAACTGCGGTCATCAACCCGCCTGCCGAACTTGGACACTAAATCAAATATCCCGTTTCGTGGCATGTTATAGAGAGACCCATGTGAACACAGGCTGTAATTAATGTAATGATCCCTTAGGGTATGCTGTATCGTTCAGAAGAATTGTGCGTACCCATCTTTATACCTCGTTAATTGACTTTGAGCTTCTTCATACAGAGCACGCCTAGATATTAAGTCATCACCAGCAACAAGCACTGGCTGAGCACTTTTTTAAGGTCATAAAATAGTATAGAAAAAGACGATAATTTCTTTTTAAATACATAAATGACAATTATGTTGCAGTTGGCGGTTTCGGTGGCGATCACGTATTGAGCTTAGTGGATGAGATTTCCTATACCGCCCCTCCCGCGCCGCCGCTATCACAGATGCACGAACTCCCACCTGAACTCTTCTGCAATGGCGACAACAGGCCCGCAAACTGTCCCGTCGACTGTCGCTGCACGCATATGATTGACGTGCCGCTTAACTCCATTGTTGAAATCGTTTTAGTTGATGAGGGTAAGTGTGATTTTAGTTTAAAAATTATTTTGAAGATAAGCGCTCACTGTTAATTCTACAGTACTCGAGCAACCCGGGTTCAATTCCCGCTGGCACCAATGAAATTGTTAAATGCAATTTTAAGTGCTGATTTACCATGTGCTTGACGGTGAAGGAAAATATCGTGGGGAAACCTAAGACATGTGAAGTTCGCCAACATATATTGGTAAATGACAGAAATGAGACGAGGTCTGTGTTCAGCAATGGGACGTATATAGGACGTATATAGACGTATAACTTTACTTTTACTTTTTCATTTATTCTTTCATTACAGCCTATCTAAGTCCACTGCTGAAAATAGTCCTCCCCTTTAGATTGCTGACTCTTTGGCGGCAGAAACAAGTGAGAATAGTGTAACGACAGACAAACTTCTCATAATAAAAGTCCTTAAGCTATAGTAGCCTAATGGATGGGTGCAGACCGCGAACTCGAAAGGTTGTAGGTTCAGATCCGCCATTCGACTACTCTCGTGAACCACTCCTACCACAAGCATTTTAAGCTTACCAAGAGTGGGAATGTTAGTAATGTGAATAGTAACATTAGTATACTTACAAAATTTTACTTTAAAATATATGTATATGTACTTTAAAAATGTATGATAATACTCGTATATACCAATAACACGTATATAACATATAAATAATATTATAATATTTTGTATTATAAATACACATTTTCAGTAAAAAATAAGTCATTAGTAATATATTATAATGTTGCGAGTATTAGCATTTATCTTCTATTAGGC